TATTTATCTATCAATTTTCCTTCCTTACTATCTATTTATCAATCCTTCTCTTTTCATTCCTTTCTATCAAACATTCTATCACTTTTCTTTCTTCCCTTTTAATCTATCTATCTATCTATCTATCTATCTATCTATCTATCTATCTATCTATCTATCACTCCCGACTTTAATATTTATCTATCAATTTTCCTTCCTTACTATCTATTTATCAATCCTTCTCTTTTCATTCCTTTCTATCAAACATTCTATCACTTTTCTTTCTTCCCTTTTCTATCTATCTATCTATCTATCTATCTATCTATCTATCTATCTATCTATCTATCTATCTATCTATCTACGTTGACATGAAAGCTATATTTTCCCATTTCTTGCCTTAAATGCACCGAACGATCTTACTGCATTTCGTTATTAATCATTGTTTGATTCTACGCTTTTGTTTTGTATATTATCTTCTATTACTTCTCCATTGAAACGATATTCAACCCCGTACAATATTTTTATTGGTTTATATCTTTAAAACTTGCATTTCATCAGTTTCTAATTTTCCGCTTTGGGTTTCTCTCGAAATTTTAAACAAGATTTCGAATCTATCCGTGCTGAATATCCATTAGACAATCGGGTATGACTTTGTAACATCATAAAACTTTAATCTACCGAAAAAAATAATGTATTTAATCTTATTTATTTAGTTTCTACATACACATAAATATACGCATGTCTGTCATATATATATATATATATATATATATATATATACTACTCTAATCAAAGGAGGAACTACTAAGACGAAAACTTATAGAAAGTGCAGTTAATCGCTAGATAATCTACAATAAATTTACGTCCAATTTTTTACATTTACCCTCTCTTGGCAGCTCTTTTGTTATCGCGATGTTGGATATTTAATGAAAAAATGTGATAAAGGCATGAGAAAAAGAAACTAATCGGCTATACCGTATAGCCAAAACACATAAAAAAAAGCATAATATTAGGTTGATACAAAAATAATGTCGTTTTTTGACGTTCAACTTCAAAAGAGCATAACTCCTTTCATAATAAAGTTTATTAATCGAAATAAGAATCATTAGAATCGACACATTTTTGCAAACGAGAAACAAGTTTATTTATCTCATTAGCATAGAAATCCGGAGTTCTGGAAGCGATGAAGTCATTAAAGGCCGATTCGGCATCATTTCGGCTTTTGAACCATTTTTCGCGCAGGAAGTTGTCGAGACGCTTGAAAAAGTGATAATCGGTGGGCGAGAGGTCCGGTGAATATGGCAGATGAGGCAGAGTCTCATAGCACAATTCGTTCAGCTTCTGCAGGGTCAGTTGAGCAACATGCGGGCGAACGTTGTCATGGAGGAGAATTGGTCCCTTCATATTGACCAATCTCGGGCACATACGTTGGAGCTTCTGGTGCATTTGTCGGCAGTACTTCTCCGCCGTAATCGTTTCGCCCGGATTCAAGAAGCTGTGATGGATGAGACCGGCCGCAGACCACCAAACAGTCACGATAACCTTTTTTTGGTGCAATTTCGTCTTCGGGAAGTGTTGTGGAGCTTCTCCGGCATCCAACCACTGTGCCGAACGTCGCCGGTTGTCGTAGAGGATTCACTTCTAATCACACGTCACAATCCGCTCGAGAAATGGGTCGTTTTTGTTGCGCAGAAGGAGCGTAGAAGACACCTCAAAACGACGATTTTTTGATTATCGTTCAATTCATGCGGCACCCATTTATCCAACTTTTGACTTCCCTATTTGCTTTAAATGGCGAACGACTGTTGAGTGGTCGACCTCGAGTTCAACAGCAACTTCTCGTGTGGTTTTTGCGGATCGGCTTCAATTAAGACTTTCAAATGTTCTTTATCAACCGCAGTCGGCCGGCCGCGACTGTCTTCATCTTCGAGGCTCTCGTCACCATTGCAAAATTTCTTGAACCACCGTTGTGCCACACGTTCGTTAGTGGTTCCTGGGCCAAACGCAACATTTATATCACGAGCTGTCTCGGCAGCTTTTCGGCCTAGTTTGAACTGGAACAAGAAAATCGTGCGGATTTGAATTTTGTCCATGCTGTCGAAAAGCCTGCAAAAAAAAGGAATGAAGAGATTGAGAACGGTAACGAATAACACCATTCGATAAAGCGAAAAACACGCTTCAAAATGATATACAACATGGCTATATATATAAATGAATTAATTCAGAAATCATATATAAATGTAACATATGTGAGAAAACGACATTATTTTTGCACCAACCTAATAATTTAAATTTAACATTCTCAGCTTCCCCCTTCATTCTTACGCATGTGCAGTCGCTTCAATATAAACATCCCTGTAGTCCGATGAAATCCTAAAACATGAAAAGATTCGTAAGAAATCTTTTTTCACTGGGTCATAGATTTTCCTAAAATTGTTCTAGATATATATACAAATTTACATATCGTTTTCGCATATATATATATATATATATATATATATATATATATATATATATATATATATATGTATTTAAGTAGCAAACCTTCTTTTACACATGTTTCATTTAAGACAATTTGCAAGGTACAGCGATTAAGATTTTAATTTTTCGTGTTTGTATAAGTGTTTTTTTTCTTTATCAAGAAGATTTTAAAATTTTTAACTGAATATGTAGATTTTTATATTCATATCTAGAGTGATAAGAAAGATTTTGTTTTTATTTTCAAAACACGGTCATTAGATTGTGGTTGTGTTCAGAGTTGATGTTATGGTTTTTTCATTATTAGAGCTTCAATTATATTTAGCCTTTTTTTTTTTTTTACATGTGGATGAGACTATTATATTTGTATTTTCTACGAATATGTCGTGGATTTATTTTGGTAGGTCATCCTTGATAATGACTAACATAATAACCGAAAGCGCTCGGATATATAGAACATTCGGACAATTTTTAAATCTTCATATCCAGAAAAGAAAACAATTATTCGAACGCAAGAATATTTGAATAAAAAGCTTAATTGCTGTACCTTGTCAGTCATCTTTAATGATATATATATATATATATATATATATATATATATATATATATATATATATATATATATATATATTTAAAAAAATATGATTCCAACACGCTACATAAGAGTTCTCATGTTTCAAAACAAGAGCCGAAAGCTTCAATATAAATTAAAGTACTAAGCTCTGTTCCATCTTCAAGCGAAATTTTTGGGGAATAAGTTATTCCAAAAAAATTCGCTCGTCTATCGTTTTCTAAGCGACGGTAGCCCCTATTTTGAGAAGTCCAGATCTAGAGGTTTTAGGTTTCATTGTAATATAGTCTTACAGATTATAATTATAGTTAAAACATCCCCCAGTCATCATGTTAATATATCGTAGTTTCAGGTTGACATATCGCCATCTATCAGAATAGACACGTTGCATAAGTTTCCATTCGGTATCACGTTCAAATTTGTACCTATAAACGATTTTAACAACGAACACAATATAATGCCAATCATCGTTATAATAATAACGAACAAGATAATATTTCTTTGAAATCTATCACATTGATCTTTCCTTATTCGACCACGCAAAAACGTTTGCAATATAGACGCCCGAATTTACCCACAGTCCCGTGTTTTGAATCGATATCAATGACGATAATTGTCCCAGCGTTCACACAAACAATATTAAAATGTAAAGAATGGGGATTGGCGTCATCAGGATCAGGAGTCATCATGAATAGTCAAATGTTCTTCATCTTTTGTGTACTAGACTTATAGAAAGAATCAGCGATGTTTATTGATATTTTATAGTCGAATCGTGTACGATAGTAAAACACGCACCATCTTTGCAATCACCTTTTACTCTTTTCTATTTTAGTTTGTGTTGATTTATCTTTGTTGGCCTCTCTTGAATGACACAAAAGAAATTATTTAGTTAGCTTTCTCTGCTTATCCTGATCATTATCGAGATGTTGAATTTATTTTCACTAATACCGACCCCAACCCCGGAATTGTATCTGGGTAGACGTGGACATATCCGGACAGGAGAAAAGGAAGAAAGGAATAGATATTTTTCTATTTGAAATGTGCTATTCATTTGTATTGCAACAGTATCCTTTTATTGATGCCACATATTGTATCACACGCGCGAAAGAGATGAATCGAGAGGTTATGTTATCCTCGTCTCTTTTCACCCAACTATACACGAATCAGAGGTGTCTCTCAAAGGAAAGCAGTTTTTAGAGCTGGCATGCGTGTCCAATCAGGATACTCCATTTAAATAGCCTTGCACCAGACAGAGCTGTGGTGACAAACAATAAGTCGAAGTCTTACCTCGGAAAATAATCCGTGCCATCTGTCGAAAAAGAAAATCAGAAGCAACATCGGGTAGCTTTAAGTAGGTCTCGAAATATGGTAATTATTTGATCTTGCCTGCCAGTCTTGAACTTTCTTACCACAATAAAAGAGTGCTACTTTGGACTACAGGATTTTTTTAGCAGTAGATATGATTATTAAGCAAACTTATTTTAATTCTAGGAGAGTTAATTATTTAATTTATTCTAAATCTGCATGTAATATTTATACACATACTAAAGAATAAGGTATATGAGTAACTGTGTCAACGAAAAACTCCCCCAAAAAATCACATTCTCTGTCGGAAGAGAAAATCAGAATCAAGATCGGGTCGACTTCATTAGGCTTCGAAATATGATAATTTATGTGAGCTTGACTACCAATCTCGACCAATCACATCCTTTCTTACGTCCAATAAAAGAACGCTACCTTGACCAATAGACGAGGGTTTTTTGTTTGTCGTGTTTAGAAAGTAATTACGAGTTCTGGATACGGCATTTTATGACGTTTAATTTACGCTCACTGACCCTTTTTTCTGATGTTGGAAGTGTGAGACTGATTCATGACTACTGGCCCTACGACACCGGACACTTGACTCTGGGATCTGAACCTCTCTTTTGCTATTTGCTCAGAAAAAAATTTAATGTAAAATTTACGTAAGACAGCA